TTGCACCTTTTGGTTCTTACACATCTGGAATCTCAATTTAATAAAAAAAATTCCAATTTATTTCTGTTTTAGGAACAAGTATCACAGGTGATGAAGCACAAAATGAAGATTTACGTCAGGAGTTGGCGAAAACTGAAATCTCTATGACTTTGTCTAATAAATTTGATGTACAACAAGATGATAGAGCTGATATGAAATCTTTATTAATCAGGTAGGGTTATACTGTATGTCTTCATTCTGCTCCTGTGTATTGAGCTACTGTGGTTCAGTGGCTTGCTTGCTAACCTGAAGATCCAGGGTTCAATCCTGACATAGGTCAGTGATGCAGACTGGAGGGATTAACATGGAAAAAGGGTCTAGTCATTCTAATGGGGCAATAAACCTAGGCTCTGTGTGCTACAGGCTGCGCTGATTCCTCGACAGATTTTCTGGCAAACTTTCTCTCAATGCTCAGTATTGAATTGCCAGTCTTCATTAGCCCAATTATGTGTAGAGTAAAATATTAGAACTAAAACTCCATTCATTTCCTTTCCATGGGTATTAAGGAGCAGGCTGTAGCGCAGTTGATTAGAGTGTCAAAATCCTGACATCATTTGCTTGGTTACATTGAACAAATGGTGGTTTTCAGTCTATGTGTGAAAGTTTGTTGAACTTAAAACACTCATCTGTCCTCATCACCCCAGTTAGTCTCAGCTGTAAATTAGTACTGATAATCTGGGAAGATCAGTGTAAGAGGTTTAACTAAGGACCACCGGTAGACCGAATCCTTGGGAATCTTAAGTAGTTATCCTGGTAAAAAATAGTTTTTTCAAATTTACCAATTGATCAGATAATCTTACCATTCTTTCATATTGAAATTATCCTCTCTTAAAGGGACAGATGCGCCATTTTGGGGTGTTGATTTTAATCTTGAATATATGTAAATAGTCTTCAGAAATACTAGAAATGTACCAAAATCACATTATTCCTTCACATATATCTCAAGCTATGAATTTTACTCACTATTTCTATATATGTCGTTTCTATATATCATGGATTTGAAGGCTCAAATTTCGAAGGTGGGCTATGAACACAGTGACTGATTGGCTTAGCTAAAAAATTCCCGTTCTTGAGACTAAAGTATGATTGGTGATAAAAATGGCTACATGTCCCTTTAAGCCTGCAATCCCACTAAAAAGGGTACATTGTCAGTTTTAGCATTTAATGAACATTCTCATATGCAGATGTAATCAATTTTTTGGAATCGTCGGTCAAAACTATTAATGAAAATATTAATATTGGCATTGAAGTGATGTTTATAATACCACCATGGTTTTTTTTTTTTTTATAAATGCATGAGAACGGGACATCATACTTTGACTTTGAAAAGGGCTACTGATAGCTGATTTAGAAAACCAAATCCCTATAAATCAGTAAATATTTCCTGTGGCCTATTAATTCACATTAGACTTTTAGGTGTTTCTCAAGATTGTTTTACTAATTGAATTTTAGGTTTTAAAAAATTTTAAATTTATCACATTGAGTTATTGAGAGTAGATTTATCAGACTTCCTATTTCATGTGACAGAGATGACATCATGATTCGTCATTTGTGACAGTTCGCTGTAAGCATCATGATTTAGTAATTTCCTGTCATTCTTTCTTCAAGGAACCGGTGCGCCATTTTTTTACCAATCGTTCCATAGTCTCAGCAATGGGAATTTTTAAGCCAAATCAATCAGTAATAGCGTTCACAGATGTAGAAATTTGAGCCTTCAAATCTATATGAACATAACAGAATTATCTGCGTAGAGAGGCTGTGATATATAGAAAAGACATTCATAAAAATTTTATAGGAAAAAACATTTTTGAAGGAATTATGCAATTTTCAGGGAACCACACAATTCTGACTGAAAATTGGAATGGTGTAAATTGATGCTATCAGTGTCCCTGATACATATAAAAAATTTAGAAAACCTCTTTACAATCCCTTTAAGGATAGGATAATGTGAGATAGGTATAAGATAGACAGCCATTGAACATGATTACAATAATTATAATAATCTACCTACTAAAAGAAGATGTGTAACCTGGTTTAAACTAACACATATGAAAGTATTAAGGTGGATTGAATTAGGTCTGAGGCCATACACTTTTGTCTATAGAAGCCAAATAATGGACCTTAGGATTATTTTTATGGAGAGTTCAATGAAGACTCAAAGGAGATAAACAATGCCTTTATCTTTCTCAAGCTTTCTCAAAGGATTTGTATAGAGGTTTTCGTTACTAATTATGTGGACACTGATAGCATTAATTTAGTGTTTTATTATGTAGCTATATATAGTATTAAAGGGACAACTGCGCCATTTTGGGAGGGTTGATTATAATCTTGAATATATGTAAATAGTCTTCAGAAGTACTAGAAATGTACCAAAATCACATAATTCCTTTAAAAATATCTCAAACTAGAAATTTTACTCATTCCTCTTTTTATATAACACAGGGTATCTTAAAATAACGACTCCTCATTTCAACTTTCAAATGCAGATAATTCTGGACACACATAACTGTTTGGCTAAGCTAAAAAAATTCCTATTTCTGAGACTTAAGTATGATTGGTGGAAAAAAATGACCTACCTGTCCCTTCAAAATCAGATTTTGTGATAGTTACTTAAAATAGAGTTAAGCATTTCTATAAATGCAGGCATCACAAAATTGATGCAAATAGAGGCCATAAATGGCTCCAATACACATAAAACACTACAAAACATTTTTACAATCCCTTTAACCACCTGACCTTGGTTCTGAAATTAAATGTCTTAAGGTTAGTCATTTGAAATAGGTTTTTGTGACTGATAGAATAGTTGGTAACACCCAACTGGTAATTACAATCATAGAACTGTAAAGATGGATGATATAATGATGAATTGAATTCTGCTGTTTCAGAACTAAAAGAATGATAGTGGATGTAATTGCTTGTCAACAAGGTGATGACTTAGTCAAAGTATTAGATATTGAGTCCTCACAGGCACAGGTAAGATCAGTCGTCTTGTAGTGATCCATAACACTGGTTTAAAAAACCACTTCCTGTTTGCACTTATTTTGACATTTCTCCTCATACCCCAAACTTATGTCCTTGTTAAACAACTTGTCCATGACTTCCTCAAGGTACAAGGAATATAGAAGATGATATGATTATATAATGGTCTCATGTGCCAATGACTTTTGGTGTTGAAGGATCTCTCAGCAGGTGGCTGCCGAACAAAATGGACCAGTCTCAACAAGTACTTGACCGTTTTATTTCCTTCCCTTTAACAGGAAGATAGACATCAAGCTTTAGTCAAGAAAAGAGATATGATAGATAGGAAAGCCCAGCAATCTCAAAAAGACGGCAAAATACAACGTCATGAATCTATTTTAGGTGATACTAGGTAAGCATTGCTAATTTAATCTGTTGAGAAAAACCTGGTACTACTTTTTTTTTCAGAGATTTTTTCAGAAACCTTATTAGGCAATGACCTACATCAAAAGATGTTGACAAATAACTCAGTTTGGAACTGTATGTGCGCGTGTATAACACGCGTATTCCTTACTACCATCTAGAGATAAACAACATGGATATAACAGTCTATGAAGTATAGCAGTATGAATTTCCAAATTTGTCGTTAACGAATTAACATATTAAGTGATTGAAAATTGAGACAGAAAAAAAGGGGATGAATGATAAAAAATCCCATAACATCACTCAAGTTTTTTCTGTGAGACTGATGCTATTGAGAATTAAGGCTCCTTGAATGTTATTTATGGTTATGTTTCTCCTAAATTATTGACTCTTAATCACATAGCAATTAGTTCTGGGTATCGCCAATCTTGTCATGATACGATACGTAATGCAATACAAGGGTCGCAATATGATATGTATCGCCATATTGGGTAACTGTAATGGGATGAATTTAAAACCAGTTTAACTTCAAAGCTTCAATATATATTAATATATACCTTTATAAATATGATGTTTGGTAATGTAGTTGATAGAAGTGATTATTATCATTGTCTTTAAAAGTTACCAACAAGTTCAGTCAATTCATTTAGAAAATACATGTGATTCCTTTAAAAAAAAATTCCCTCTTTTTATGGAATGAGAGGCATCGTCAAGTATCGATACACAACTTCACAATCTGATACGCTTATCGTAGTGTGTCATAATGCGATACATCAATTCACCGATATATTGTGCCAGCAATGATAGCAATGGTGTCAAGAAAATTACCATTTACTGTTCAATTACTTTGGTTATGCCATTAAGTAAGTTTTGTCAGCCTCGTTAAAGGGATTGTAAAGAGGTTTTATCACTTTTATGTGTATCGGGGACACTGATAGTATCAATTTGGACCATTCAAATTTCTGTGGTTTATGCAATTCCACTAAAACTAAGTGTTTGATGATGACACTAATTTTCAAAGACCTTATGTGATAAAACAAATTTCGTGACAAGTGACATTATCAAACAGTTAGTTTTAATGGATTGTAAGAACCACAGATGTCTGACTGAAAATTGGAACGTTGCAAATTGATACTATCAGTGTCCGTGATACACATAAAAATGAGACAAAGTCTGTACAATCCCTTTGAAAAAAAAATCATTGACAAGCCAAGTTAATTTAATATCTACTAACTGTCGTCTTTGGACAATTTTGACAATTTTATTATCACTTGCATGGCTGAAGATATTAATTAAAACTGACAGTTAATGAGTCGTTTCTAATTAAGACTGTATAGAAACTTTCTTCATGAACAGAAAATTTCTCATTAAAAATCTAATTATTAAGATATGAAAATAACAAGGTTAATCTGTTTTGACAAATATATTTGGTTTTCATTTCTTCATATATTGGACCTTACAAAGTGTTTGTCTCACTTCAGTTTATAGCCTGAGTGGACTCATTGAAAACATTGACCTCTCCATTGACCATTCAAATCAAATTTGATTAACTCAAATTCAGATTGAGCTGAACTTTCATAAGAAAATTCAGATGGTGGTGAACTTTCATTTCATCTAAAATTAAGATGGGGCTGAACTTTCATTTCATCTGAAATTAAGACTGTCCCAAAATTTCTTCTCAAATTCAGATGTTGCCAAACTTTCATTTTATCTCAAATTCAGATGGTGGTGAACTTTCATTACATCTCAAATTCAGCTAGTGCTAAATTTTCATTTCATCTCAAATTCAGCTGGTGCTAAATTTTCATTTTATCTCAAATTCAGATGGTGCTAGACTTTCATTTTTCACTAATTCAGATGGAGGTGAACTTCCATTTCTTCTCATTCAAATGGTGCTGAATTTTCAATTCATCTCTGATTCAGATGGTGCTAAATTTTCATTTCTTCTCATATTCAGATGGTGCTAAATTTTCATTTCTTCTCATATTCAGATGGTGCTAAATTTTCATTTCTTCTCATATTCAGATGGTGCTAAATTTTCATTTCTTGTCATATTCAGATGGTGCTAAATTTTCATTTCTTCTCAAACCATCTCAGATCTTCCTTATCATTTCAATTTTCAATGTGTTAATAAAATGGATCTTGGAAGAGAGAAGTCTTATTCAGATGTTCTGGCGAATTTTCCCCCAATATTGCATATTTCACAGATTTGCCCAACTTCTTTAGCTGGACTGGAGGCAAAAAAAGGGGAATAAATCATGCTTGCACTGTATTTCAGAATAGTGAATAACATCACTAATGAGACAAGTTTGTAAATAATTAAAAACACTAATAAGTCCAGTAGACATTAAAGAATGGAGTTGATAAATTAGATTTCTTTTTACCAGAAGTCAGATATATCAGACAAATTACCTACTATAAATAAATCCTCTTGTTTATGGTCAGTTTGATATTATTCAGTGGTCAAATGGTCAGTGACTTGGCAACAATCAACAATATGTAGATGCTGATTATAGATCTGGAAATACCAAGGGATTGTCGAAGAAACTTAATCTCCTCTATGCTAGTTCAGTATTTATTTTATTGTTGATTAGAGCATTGGTTCTTTACATTGGTTTCATCAACAAATGGTGGTCGTGGGTTCTAATCTTTGTCAGCGTGTGACGGTCGTAATCCACCCAGCTGTAAAGTGTATGGATCATCTGGGAAAGATCAATGCCATGAGGTTTGGCCGATGACCAGCTGGTAGAAAAGTACTTTGTGATCCTAAAGTTCTGTATACACTGACATTTATACTGGTTACATGTTGAGAAACATGTTTGCGAAGATGCCATGGCAGCATGGTGTCAGGAGACAATGGCGGACCCTATGCTGGTCTCTCATGTATACCTGTGTCCTTTTTCAAACTTTCTTCTTAGCTTTACGTCTAGGCATAATTATGTTAGATGCCTTAACAATATATTTTCAAATCTTCCATATTTATGAATTTCCCTCCAAAATCCACATCTTCTTGGAAACATTTGTCAACATGATACTCAACTGTTGCCTTTGAATACAGTACAAAAATTTTGTATCCCAGGTGTGTTGTCGAGATGTTGTTAACATATAACATAGTACTTTAGTACATTGCAGTACTTTAGTTCTTTAAGATAAAGTTCTTACTTATTTAATCCAAAGTTGTTGTTTTTCCTTTCCTCATGTTTTTTCATAATGAAAATGTACTTAAGATTATCAGCTTGTTACAAAAATTGTGGAATTCTAATCAAACAAATTGGTATCCAGCTGTTTTCATGTTAAAGATATATATTAGATACATCTTTTTTCATTAAACTTTTATAGAGCTTTTGAAAAATTTCCCTTTTAAAAATTAGTTTATCTTCTCCCATGTAAATTCTACTTCATTTAATTTACTCATGGTCTACGTTATAATAATCTTTCTTAAAGATGGGTTTCCTTATTTGATGAATTGGTGTTTCTAATGAATTATAAATTATTCTTAATCATATCACGATGTTCTTATAACTTAAGAATTTTAACCAATCATAAATGTCCTTGTATGTACAGACCTTTTGACCTTTCTTGATCAGTTGTTCATTGGAATTCTGCTGGTAATTTTCTACTAATTTAGCCAAATATGAATTAATCATGGACATCTGAGACAAACTGGTATTTTTCCAAGTCATTAGAACACCTTTCTATTCATATAAGTATTAGCATTTTCATTTTCATAAATGAAAATAAGGGAACCCATCCTTAAACTTTGAAAATTATACGTGAGAAATTCTGTAGAAAATGCTATTTATTTGAATGTATCTTCTTGATCAAATTGATTTTGTTTTGAAAGGGCTAATAATGAAAAATGGAATTCACTACTTCTTAAGTTTAAACTAGTTTTAGTTTTGGGTCTTTCATAGTTGAAACCTTCAGTATAAGTAGTCCTGAGACATATTTCTCTACAATTTGGCGTTTATTTTGCTCAAATCAGTTAATTGGCTATCCAGCACCAATTTAAAGATAGATAAACCTTTTAAATAGCTCAGTGACACATAAATCTAGATTTTGATGAATAGGTTTAGCTAATTTGATGGTTCTTTTAACCTGTATGTGACTCTATAACAGTGTTTCCACTGAGGAAAAAGCCAGCTATAAGCTCCAATGGGCAAATTGCCAAACTCTTACGGTTTGGGAACCCAAAACCTCTCTTTTTGTAAGCAATTTATTGGGGGCCAACTGAAAGTTAGCTTAAATCCGGCTTAAACCAGTGGTAAGGCAAAAAGCCAGCTTAATTTCGTTCGGCAATAGGGGGCGTACCGGTTTTACTTTACAATTCTCACTGGAAATGCGGTTAATTACAATAAGTCAGAAATTTACTGCTAGTAACAAGGGATTATATTACCAGATTGTGGTAAGGAATTATAGAATTAACGAGTCTATAGAGAATATACAGTATAGTAAATTAAATCATGATGATGAAAAGATGATTATGTTTAAGTTAAATAAATATAGAAATAAACTGACGTCTGGTTACAAGAGGACAGTCAGGAAATTTCATCATGTAAAACAAGTACGAAAGACATTTAATTCCGTTAAATGGATACCTAAAACATAGACCGGAATATCTGTCTTTATTTCAGCCTCTGATAGCTATTTGGACAGATGTCGCCTGGTGTAGAGACAGACAAAATAGACCTTTTTAGACACCTCAGATCTGCAAAACCCAGGTATATTTGGAAAGATGAATATTTTTGTAGTTCAGTCATACCATCATTTTCTCCCAACACCATTTATGTCATGTCTCCGGTTTCATCAGGTTTTTTTTTGGCGAAACTGATCTAGCATTGGTCATTTAAAACTGCATGCGCAGCCAAAAGTTAAAAAGTCACAGAGTCAGGTGATACTTACAAAACGAAAGTTACGGTGATGCCCAACTCTAATTTACAATCATCTTAAAGGTAATTCAATATTCTGTTAGAGAAAATGCATCTTTGA